ACTCTGCGAGGAGATGCTATAAAAATCCTCGAAAATCGCTAAACCAATCCACAAATCCTTCGCCCCTTATGAGGGCAGGCCCAGCACAAAACGTATGCTCATGGTCCGCGCATCCTTTCATGGTCGGCGGCATGGGGCGCACGGCCCTATACCTGAAGGTAAGCCCTCCGGGCTTCGCCTGCGGCCCGATCACGTCCGGTGGCCGGATTAACCAGGCTCCCGCCTGCTGCCGCCGACCCTCGGCGCATTAAGGGAAAAGTCATACGGACCGGTCTACCACTTATAAGATCCTCTACGACCACAAGGATTAACGGCAAAGTCAGAAAGATGGCAGCTCGTCCGTTAATTACCGCTTGGGCCGGTTCGCGTCAAGTTGGCGCGGGAGAGTCCTAGAAACAAGGCCAAGGGCTCTCCCCGGGGGTCGTCCTGAAACTGGCCCTCCCAAAACTGGCCTGGGACGGTTGCCCTGGCGGTCCTGAAACATGGGTGCCAGTCTGGAAACAGGCGTCTGGCGCGGTTTGAATCGACGTATTCGACTCTCTTGCAGAATAGATCCAGGGACCCTCTACTACCACAAGGATTAACGGAAAAGCCAGAAAGATTGCAGCTCCTCCGTCAATTACTGGCCGGTTTGCGCCCAAGTCACGTCGAGTTGGCGGTCCTGGAAACAAGGCCGTCCCGAAACTGCCCCTGGGACGGGTGCCCTTGACCGGTCGCAGGCAGGCAGTCCGGAAACAGGGCCAGTTTCAGGACGACCCCCGAAAAAAGGCCTTGGCCTTGTTTCTAGGACTGCTCCGGGCAACTCGAAGTGACTTACCGGCCCAACAAGCTGCCATCTTTCTGACTTTTCCGCTAATCCTTGTGGTCGTAGAGGATCTTTTGAGTGGTCCCTGGGTTTGCGGACTGGCACCCGTGTTTCAGGACGGTCCTTATGACTTTTCCCTTAATGCGCCGAGGGTCGGCGGCAGCAGGCGGGAGCCTGTTTGTTCAGTTTAATAACCTTCATCAGCTTTCTCTAAATTTAATCCGGCTACGCCTCCTTGGGGTAGCATGTCGCCGCTAGGCAATTAGCCTGCTAGCTTTAGCTATAGGGGCTGCACCCTGGTGCCGCCGACCCTCGCCACTTGGTCGTGATGCGCGGCCTAAATCCGGCACCTCTGCATCACCAGCTCGGGCTTGCGGTTTTGCTTGACTGTGGGAAACCCTCGCGAAACATCGCGTATATGCAGGGTTTAGGCCATGTGGCTGACATCGTCAGGGTCTGGGGTTGGGCCTGGGTGATGCTTCAGCGGGGCTTGGTCTGCATCATCAAGACTTCCTTCCAAAAAGCCTCTCCACCCAAAAAGCACTGTTTTTAAGTAGGTATCGGAGGGGTATAAGCGAGGCTCATTTTTGCGCATTTTGGCGCCAAGCGCTGCCGGGCATGGCGGCGATGCTGGGTCCTCGCTCTACAAAACGCTGTAAATACCGCCAAAAACTGCTGTGCTGAGCGTTGGGCTGTTGTTCTGTGATATAACTTCAAAGAGGCGTAGCCGGCTAGAGGCCGCAGGCCCAGAAAATAACCTTCATCAGCTTTCTCTAAACACCTGCGGGATCATTCTCATGCGCGCTGCCTTCAGATCTTACGCTTCCTATGCTTCCTGTAGAGGAAATGAGAAACATTACAGGTCGTCCCTGGTTCCAAATGGCTCATAAGCTGATAGATACGTTGAACAAAAAATCTTTGAACATTGCAAGGTCCACGGCTCGAAGCTTCTGAAGCTTGGGCGCTTGGCCAAGCGAAGCCAAGCGACCGGCGGCGCGCGCGCTCCGAGGCTCCTGCGAGGCGTTCCCACAGCTCCAACGGCTGAGCAAGGTCCAGGTCGATGGTCTCGCAGGGAGTTGCGGTGAGGTCCGAGAGCGCCTCGATGCGAAATAAATAGATAGAAGGGGAGATAGAGAGATAGATAAGTAAATAGGTAGATGGATAAAGAAATAGATAGATAGATAGATAGAGAGGTACATAGATAGATAGGTAAAGAGAGAAAGAGATAGAGAGACAGATAGAGAGATGGATTGATAGAGACATGGAAAGAAAGGTAGATTGAGAGATACAGAGATGGATAAATACACGAAAGATAGAGAGATAGACAGATAGATAGATAGATAGATAGATAGATAGATAGATAGATAGATAGATAGATAGATAGATAGATAGATAGATAGATAGATAGATAGATAGATAGATAAAGAGATAGACAGATTTCCAGCGACTCCGGGCAAAAAGCAATTGTGGACCTGGTTTCACTGGTTTCTGTTCATTCCTGGCAGGTGCACGTTGCACTCTGCAACATGTGCGACAGATTTCTGCAAGAAGCTCGGAGCCGGGAGCTGGGCAGCCATTCTCAAGACATTCTTGGAAGTGTTCAGACTTGTCGGGAATGGGCTTGCCTGGACACACTCGTTTTTATTTCCGTCGTGTTTCGTGTTTTCGTGCTTGTATGGCAGTGGGGCCTATTCGACACATACGCACCCATATGTCAAAACTCGTGAAGCACTTCGGTGGCTCTTGAGCTCACACGGTGGGAATCACATGCCAAATGTTAGATTGGAAATCGGATGCTAAATCGAATACGTGGGTTTTAATGGGACTGAACACGGGTGTGTTGCCGAAAATAGTGGGTTATCACAATGGGCAACTGCGCCCATTTTCGGGGCTACCTTTTCAACACCAACCATGCGAGCGACGATTGGGGGCTCCAAATAAGCTATCTCCAAATTAAAAGGTGTAACAATGGAATATCTCTGAAGAAATGAAGCGTCGCCTTTGTGTTACAGGGGTTTTGAAGGTCGCCTTCGTTTTCAGGTTTTAGCCCTATGCCACCCGAATCCATGTCCTTGAGGCTGAGTATTTTGGGGATCCCTTAAATTGAGACAATTAACGCCCTTTTTGGGGATGGTGCTTGCAGGCAAACAAAAAGATACTAATTTGGCGGTCCTTCCCTTCTTTGGGCGGAAAAACAATTGTCCAGCTCTCACGTGGCTGCGTGTGTGTGTTTGCATCAAGTTGAACCTTTTGGCAACCCTGTGACAGTGTGAGTCAGGAATCAACATGAACCCAAACGACGCGAGATTTGTGTGGCCTAAGCCGGGACCACAGCCAAGCCTTGGTCATATAACAACGGCCTGCAAAAACCAAACTGGGCGTCAATGAAAAATGACCAACTGGGCTCATGTGTAGTGAGGGAGTTAGCCTGTTTTTGGACTCTGGCCTCAGGACCTTAGCTTGGCCTGGTTGCAATGGATCCGAGATCCATCCTACGCCAAAGAGCCAGAAAAAAAAAAAGAGAACCTGACTGGAAATCCTTGGTTTGGACCATGGTCCATTTCGGTCTGAAAGCAAGCACAACTTTATCCTGCACAAAACCCAGGAAGCGGGCAGCCAAAAAAGAAGCCTGCGATCTTACACAGCTCCCAGTACACATCTAAACATGCCAAATCGAAAGACTTGTCCCTGCCTCTGCAACCGACCCACCGCTGATGGCGCGGTAGGAGCCGTGCGCCTGGTCCCGGTCTGCAAAACTAGGAAAAAGGTGTCTGGGAGTGGACGGCCTAAGCTGGCTTGCGTCGGTGTCTGGCTGTTGCTTGTTTCTTTCTTTCTTCCTTGTTTCCTTCGGTCCTTTGGTGTGTTTGTTCGTGTGCGTGTATGGTTGTGTGCGTGATTGACTTTTTGCTTGCTTGCTTGTTGGTCGGCTTGTCTCTTTGTTTGCTTGTCTGTCAGTCTATCTGTCTGTCTGTGTCGGTTGTCTGTCTCGGCTTGTCTGTCTCGGTTTGTCTGTCTCGGTTTGTCTGTCTCGGTTTGTCTATCTCGGTTTGTCTGTCTCGGTTTGTCTGTCTCGGTTTGTCTGTTTTGCTGTCTGTCTGTCTCGGTTTGTCTGTCTCGGATTGTCTGTTTTGCTGTCTGTCTGTCTCGGTTTGTCTGTCTCGGTTTGTCTGTTTTGTCTGTTTTGTCAATTTGCTGTCTGTCTGTCTGTCTGTCTGTCTGTCTGTCTGTCTGTCTGTCTGTCTGTCTGTCTGTCTGTCTGTCTGTCTGTCTGTCTGTCTGTCTGTCTGTCTGTCTGTCTGTCTGTCTGTCTGTCTGTCTGTCTGTCTGTCTGTCTGTCTGTCTGTCTGTCTGTCTGTCTGTCTGTCTGTCTGTCTGTCTGTCTGTCTGTCTGTCTGTCTGTCTGTCTGTCTGTCTGTCTGTCTGTCTGTCTGTCTGTCTGTCTGTCTGTCTGTCTGTCTGTCTGTCTGTCTGTCTGTCTGTCTGTCTGTCTGTCTGTCTGTCTGTCTGTCTGTCTGTCTGTCTGTCTGTCTGTCTGTCTGTCTGTCTGTCTGTCTGTCTGTCTGTCTGTCTGTCTGTCTGTCTGTCTGTCTGTCTGTCTGTCTGTCTGTTTGTCTCTCTCCCTCTCTCTGTCTGTCTGTCTGTCTGTCTGTCTGTCTGTCTGTCTGTCTGTCTGTCTGTCTGTCTGTCTCGGTTGTCTGTCTTGGTTTGTCTGTTTTGCTGTCTGTCAGTCTATCTGTCTGTCTGTGTCGATTGTCTGTCTCGGTTTGTCTGTCTCGGTTTGTCTGTCTCGGTTTGTCTGTTTTGTCTGTTTGTCTGTCTGTCTGTCTCTGTCTGTCTGTCTGTCTGCTGTCTGTCTGTCTGTCTGTCTGTCTGTCTGTCTGTCTGTCTGTCTGTCTGTCTGTCTGTCTGTCCCTCTCTGTTTGTCTCTCTGTCTGTTTGTCTGTCTGTCTCTCTGTCTCTCTGTCTCTCCCTGTCTGTCTCTGTCTGTCTCTGTCTGTCTCTCTGTCTCTGTGTCTCTGTGTCTCTCTGTCTCTCTGTCTCTCTGTCTGTCTGTCTGTCTGTGTCTGTCTGTCTGTGTCTGTCTGTCTGTGTCTGTCTGTCAGTCTGTCTGTCTCTCTGTCTCTCTGTCTGTCTGTCTGTCTGTCTCTCTGTCTGTCTGTCTGTCTGTCTGTCTGTCTGTCTGTCTGTCTGTCTGTCTCTCTGTGTGTGTCTGTCTGTGTCTGTCTGTGTCTGTGTGTGTCTGTCTGTGTCTGTCTGTGTCTGTGTGTGTCTGTGTGTGTGTCTGTCTGTGTCTGTCTGTGTCTGTCTGTGTCTGTCTGTGTCTGTCTGTGTCTGTCTGTCTGTCTGTCTGTCTGTCTGTCTGTCTTTCCGTCCGTCCGTCCGTCTGTCCGTCCGTTGTCTGTGTTCTTTCTTGCTTGCTTGCTTGCTTGCTTGTTTATTTATTTATTTATTTATTTGTTTATTTATTTATTTCTTTGTTTGTTTGTTTGTTTGTTTGTTTGTTTGTTTGTTTGTTTGTTTGTTTGTTTGTTTGTTTGTTTGTTTGGTTTGATCAATTGACTTGATTGCTTGGATTTGCGAGTGTCTGACTCAAATCTGAGAACCTCGCTTGTCTCTTTCAAACCGAACAGCCAAAGCATGGTAACCCCTTGCTGACAAACTGCCACGTTTGCAGGAAATGCGCAGAACATAGTATCATGCTGACACGCCTTGTTTGCGGCAATCGAGGCTTGACTCTCGACTTTCTCTCCCTCTCTCTCTGCCTCTTTCACTCTCTCCGCAAAACATTGAAATGCGCAGCGGAGCAGAGCCATTCGAGCAAAAAAGATCTGAACACCTGATGCTGCTCCGAGCCTCTTAGCACCTCATCCGACCCTTGCGCATTCCTTGCCTTTGACGAAGTACTCCCAGTACGAAGTACTCCCAGTACTTCGTGGGATTGAGTGTAAATTCGCCCCTTCAAAGCAGTTGTTTTGCTTTTGGTCTCCCGCTGGTCTCCTTCTGGCCTCCCTCTGTTTGGCTTGACACAAAGCGGTGGGGTTTGACGCAGAGTCCATATCCGTTGTTAGCCCCAATTCGCATGTCCATGGGTCCATGGGTCTGGCCTTCGCATAGGCCTTCTCCAGCAAGGGCACCCAAAGCTGCCCGTCCTAAGTCCGAGCAATCCCAGGTTGAACGAGTGGCAATCTGATGCAACCAGGATCAACCAGGAATACAAAAGGGCTAGTTAAACTAGACAACGAGTGGCCCCGAAGCAAAGAACCTTCATTGCGAGGGCCTTTGCTCACAACTAGGCAGATGTAGAATTGAGAGACGCAACGCAAATTGGTCGATGCTGCACATCTAATTGTAGCGTTTGTGTGATTTATTCACGTATTCCTTTATATAATACATCACAGTTGCCATGTTCGAAAAGAGCTGGCGGAGCGTACTTCGCATGGATCCTACTCTTACACGTTGCTCCAGCTGCACGCGCAGAGGGTCTCCCGAGGTCAAGAAAACTAGCACGGCGCGCCCAATCCCCATAGAGATCCGAGGTCAAGACAGTTCGAGATCTCTGCCTAGGGTTCACCACGATCGATCAAGACAATTCGCACGGCGCCACGGCAAGAGCGCCAAACAAAACGTGATAATCAGCCTTGCACCGTCCCAGACTCCTCTCATAGACATTGGATAACGCTGAAGTGGAAGGCCTGAATACCGCATTCGTTTTGACATCATTGACGTCGCAGGAAGCAATACATTTCCCCGACTAGTTTACATGTTGTTCAGGATTCGGGGAAGTTTCAGCTTGGTTGCCAGGTTTTGTGTCGTTCATCTTTGGAATTTGCCACTTTGCAAAGGTATCCAACATGGTGCGACATGACACCATCGTGGCACATGCATCATACAGAATGAGACACGCAGCCTTGCCGTTTTCCATGTTGCATTCAACCATCTTGCAGGGGCCGTTGACTCATGACCTTTGGCCGCCGCACCCATGCCCCGGGCCGCGCCTTTGTGCGGCTGAAGGCGAGGTTGCTGCCATCTCCCCTCTTTTGCTGCGCATCGACACACGGCAACTGGTCGTCCACCTCTCAGCTAGCGCTGGGACTGAGAAAACAACGTTGCAGCATTGGAACATGTGCAGCCAAAAGCGAACAAAAGCCGCACCTCTGCTCCCTGCCACGCATCGCCGTACATGAAGCTACAAGCGATGAGACATTCTGAAACACAAGTCGTATCCGCACCCGCACCCGCATCCGCATCCGCACGCAGGCACACTCACACACACACATATACTGATGCATGCACACATTCACGCACGCACCACCCGGCCACACAAACACAAACACAATCACACACAAAAACAAACAAACAAAACAAACAAACAAATGAACCGAGTGCCACCCAGGCGCCACCACCTCGCGCCAGCGCCCATTTAGGAAGAGCTGCACGCTATAGCGCCCGTCGCGGCGCGTGGCGGTCTGCAGCTCCGCAGGTTAAAAGATGGCATTCGTTCTGAAGGTTCTCTGCTTAAGGGGGCAAGGTACTTAGTAAGTGGCTGGTAAGCCTAGTAATGACCCACTTACCATGGTTACAAGTCTCCCAAGTGGGTTATAACCAGGCTTGCTACTTTCTAAGTGTACCTTGACCCTTTAAGCGGCTTACGTGGAGTGGTCCAACATCGAAAATGCCTCCAGCTGCTACGTTGCCTGCTGGTTTCGCTGGAGTCCCTGTGAAACCTTCCAACAAAGTGCCTTGATACGCTCGCGCAAACCGCTAATTCATTCGTGAATGTGAGCATAGGGATACGGACCCAGAACGGAAGGGGGGTTCAGCCCAAAGCAAGTGCTCACGCTCCTTGGAGGGCTAGAAAGACTCGGGACAGGCGCCAAACGTGGCTCCCGCCTCCCGAGACTTTTGGGCGATTTGCGCAACGCCCCATGTGAAGCCCCGAGTCGCTGGGTCTTCAGGCCTTTGATTCGGGGAGGCAGTGGGCTCTTGGCCACTTGTGGATTCGGGGCTTGCCCAGAAAACTCTGCGATCGGCGCGATAGACGCAGCCATGACAAAGATGGTGTTTGTAAGGCGATTCCAGAGACTTTTGCACAATCCTTCGAGACATCTCATGATGCAAAGCAAGAACCAACAAAACCAGCAAGGTGCCAAGCAATTTTCGGGGAGGTTCTCTTTGCCAGTGTACATGCCCATATTGAAGCCTATGCTTATTTGATCTTATTTGGGGGGGGGGGGGGGTTGACAGAATGGTGCCTCTTTTTTGCAACCCAAACAAATCAGAGGCCCCGAAACGGCGGAAGCCATTGCTACCAATCCCCCATAAAGGTGTGACTTCCAAGACGTTGTTGGAGTATCCTCACATGGTTGTGGGTCAAAACCTAAGGAGCCTTTTTGGGGATGGTTACTCCACTGTTATCTTTTTAGCAGGCTTTCTGGGTGTGCACCGGGGAACCGGAGCTTTGGCCCATAGCCACTGCCCCCAAGGCAACCCCAAGACACGAGACACCGGCGTCGCGCGCGCTCGCGTCGCGCGTCGCGCCTGGCCCCGGAAGAGGCGGAGGATCAGGTCCGGACGCTGGGCCACCACGGCCAGGGCTGAGAGGAACCAGCAGTCCCCCACCGCGCCCTGGGCCAAAAAAAGTGTGTGTCGCCATGGGACCCGGGAGACATGAGACATGGTTCTCTTTCCTTGAAGGAACGTCGTCTTTGGACCTCTCCATCAGGTTCCATGTTGGCAAGAGGGCAGTCAGTGTTGAGGGGTTTGGTGGCGTTGGTGATGAACAATTCTGTTGGCTGTGAGTCTTGAGGACCTTCCCGCATTGCCCGCGACCTGGAAGAAAACTGGCAAGGACCCGTCCAAGATATGCAATAACATGTGAACAGCCATGAGTAAGGCAGCACAGGTGTTCAAGGCTACAAGCCGCGCCGTGTAAGACCTGCCTAAAGCACTGGACGAAGTCACTTCCTATTATTATGGGTGTTGATGATATGCTCAGCTCGGCAATCCACATGTCTGCAGCTATGGAATACGTTTCTGATAGTGGAACATATTATTGGTTTGTTCCTTTGTGGGATGTGATTGACTTTCCAACATTTGTCCAACAATCAACAATTGGTTTCATCGATCTCACTAAGAAACGGAACCGAGCTCGGCCCGCCATCTGGCCTGTAGCAAATCCTGGGCTCGGAAGCCATAGTCGCGGACCAGCACGAAGTCAGGGAAGCGTTGCCACCACACCCGACAGGAGAGCTTCTCCAAGTGAGTAACCCACCTCAAAATGGCGACCCACAGGCAAATGGCTCAGTGTCGTTTTGGCTGATAAATTAATACAGGGACCCCCACCAAAGAGGGTAATTTCCTTTTAGGTGACCTTTTACGGAGATCTTGAAGGTCCTGGTCCGCATAGATCCATGCTTTAATGGAAGCGACCACATTGGTGTTGACAGTCTCTATGCCACGCGCCTGAAAACTGAAACTGACATAACAGCGCTGAGCCTTACTTTGTCACGTTCACGCAAGGCGTTACGCTGGCCGTTGCAACTCATGTTTGGGTCTGTCTCTTATTTCCGGCGTCCACGAGGGAGGCGTTTAGGGGCGCACACACACACACACACACACATGGCTCTCCTCGGCCGTACATGGCCGCGAAACCTCCTTTGTTCAAGTCCCCTGGCAAAAAATAGAATATGTTCAGCACTGATGGATTCCCTTTAAAACCAACCGGGGAAAATAAAACATATTCTTACCAAATCGAAGGAAAACAACTTGCCCGCGCCTGAAGAAGGAGCACCTCTGCCTGGCAAAAAAGCGAGTTGTCGAAAGTGCGCCGCAAAACCCTAGCTGTTGAGATTGAGTGGCAAAGGCTTGTGCATTGTTGAAAGAGGCCCGGCAAGAGCATGTTGGCCAGTCGAAAATAGACTTGTAGAAGGTGCTTGCTTTGATACTCGAAACCGGTACCTGCCGAATGTATACAGTAAGCGTGACAGCAAAGACTCACTTTGCCTGCGCCAACCGGCGAGTGCAGTTTGGGACAAAAGCACCACTTGGACCATTTCCCAGCACAGAGATACGTGACCGCAAACTCCCTTGTCCCAAGCAGCTGGAACAAGGCGATCACCTTCAGAACCCAGCATTGAAAGCGGAAAGTGCTTGAAATTGAAGGGCCAACAGGTTGATTCCCTTCGAGACTGACCAACGCCGCCCTTCCCCCGCCTGCCACAATGCCAAAAGCGCCCTCCGCGAACCCCTGGCGTTCTGGCTGCCGCGAGAAAACCCTAGACCAAACCTGGCGAAAAGGCAAACTAATTGAAACAAAGCCCAGGTTCAGCGTAAGCGACGGTCTCGAGTGTTGAAATGCGTTTCCATCACCTTTGTGTAAATATGCATACACATCTACGCACACGAATACAAGTATATCTGTGTACAAACATGTGCCATACATAGCGCAGCAAACCTGCACACAGTGAAGCATATACACATCCTTCATGCCTTGATAAGCTTTCAAATGTTCAGCGGCAGATGGGAACTGGCAGACATAATCTTGTCCAAGGATAGCATCTTCACGCAGTTCGGCAACATCAAGGCGCAACATCTGTGCACTCTCGTATACACTATAGCTCAAACACGCTTGATGACAGTCACCCAACCAAACAAATATGACGTGTCACAAATATGGAGCGCTGAGCAATTCGGTATTCCTTTCTGGTCGGTTTCAAAGGGAACCAACAGGAAACAAACCATTCTTTGGAGTCCCCCTAAACAAGACACGCCCATTCGTCTGGCCTTCGCACGCTTTTGACCCAGCGCCCCCGGCCACCGCTCTTTTTCCCACGCTCAGCTCCACTTCGTCCCAGGGCTGCTGCCTGGCAGCCTCCTGGTTGAGCAAGCCTTACCCCAGAAAGCCCACTGGATGTCCAAAACCATCCAAAACCTCTGTATTTGACCCCTTTTGACCCTGTGGTCTGCGACCCCCCAATTAACCTTTTGGTCTGTGGACAATCTCTCTCCTCAAGAGAATTTATATTGCTTTCTTCAAAGATGTTGAAGCACAGCAAAGGCAAGAGCGTGGAGGCTGGTTATTTCAAGACACCAGCTCACGAAGGCGCAGATGCAAAGTGCTGCCTTTGGACCAGGATCAAGAGCTCATTACCCCTATCACCTTCCAATGCCTTCCTGATCCTTCCGGTCTCCCTTGATCATAAGTCTCACGCAAAAACCACAAACAATATTGTGAAATCGCACTGTCAAATACCCAACTCGCATCCACAGAACGACACAAAGCATTCGATGTTGCTCCCAACAAGCACATAGACGTAAATGAGCGTATATAGCACATCTATGTGTTAACTAGATGTACAAAAAACGACCTGCGGGACAACCTCAACGTCTGTTCCAGACAAAAGCCCTGGTGTCTCATGCTGCTCCTGGAAGAAGGCTCCGATCCGCTCAGCACAGGCTGGGGCCGTGTCCTCACCAATTTGAGGCGCGGCTGGACTTGCGGGCAATAGGGGTGGTACCTTTGTTTTCATTCAGCATCCACAAAAAAAGATCCTATGCTTGTACGAAACATCAACAACCTCAGTTTGTTCAAGAGTTGCCAGAAACCGGATGCAGTGGGCTTCTGGTGTGGATCCCCAATCATTGAGTTTTTTTTCTAAGGACCCCGTAACAAACCATGCACTTCCATAATCAAAGACCATACAAGCGGCCCAGCTTCGAGGGAGAAGCCCTATTTTTGACACCCAGCCAGGAACTTCCGCCCGAATGGCGGTCCACTTTGGGGAAGGCGCCGTCAGTCATACCGTCAGCAAATCGTCCCACAAGTTTTCAGCAGCGTATGCTCCCCCCGCGCCCCATCCTCCCAAGAAAAAAGAAGAAGCAAAGACTACCTCTTCCACTGGGCACCCCCAGTGCGAAGTTCAGAAGCTTCCACCTCCTGCAAGGACGGCGCATCCTTTTCAAGACGCAGGCTGCCAGGCAGGACTTGAAGCGAAAACTCCACCAATTGGAAGAGCGCAACACGCGTGACATCAATGTGACATCAATGGCATCCATTGCCTCATGCTAAGCCATGGCCTGAAGATGTCTTTGCCGGCCAATATGGCAATGACTTGGGCCACCAAACCCCAGGACCTCTTACATCTAGCCCGTGTTTCTGGCTATTCTTCTACTCCAACAAAAAACACTTTGGTGGTTTGCACTATTTTTACCAATAATCCATGTCTGGTGACTTCTCGGTTTTTCCGGGTGTTTGACCAGCCTCGTCCAGGTGCAAATGATGGCCTCCGGGTAGCTGCTCCGCTTGCAGGTGTGGGACTGCCGCCTTCCCTACGAAACGAAACGAGCTGTCCGTGGCGTCTGAAACGACTGGGAGATTTACTCATCAGGCCATGGGTCAAAAGCCCGTACCCCCAGTGAACATCCCAATCCCCACTAAAATGGACATGGTACCATTGGTTTTGACCCACAGCCATTGGAATCACGACCGTTTTCCTGTGGGAGGAGGAGAAAACGCTCGCTCACCTTCGAAACTCAGAGGACTGCAGGTTGTGTCCAAGTTTCCTGTTACCACGGATGGGACTTCATCTCTCATTTCTTTGTGCCACGGTCATTGTGCGGAATGCGGCGTTTCCTCAAGCGATTTGAGGAAAAGCAAAAAACATGGGTACGCCCCGACGAAACCTGAATAGGATCCACAGGGCATGGATCGCTTACCTTTTGAAGGAAGCCTCTCGGATGTTCTCTCTTGTTGGGAGGGTCGGACCCCTACCCTTACAGCTGGATGACCTGGAGAAGCATGAACGAAAAGAGACATGTTCGGCCACTTGGCAAGTGGCAAATCCGCCGACGCCAGTCGAGCGTGTAGATGGCAGTCCGCAACTTGGTCTTCCTTCGGAATCTCTTATCAAAGCCGAAGGCTTTTCGGACTGTTTTTCTTGGGCATGCTGTGCTGGGTGTCCAAAACCTGTATTTTTCCAGTGTTTTTGAGTCTTTCGTGGTAAAAATATGCGTTTCGCCTAGGTCTCTAGGGGGGGTTCCCCCAAACGCGCAAAATTATGCATCCCCAGCATCATCAGGATTGCCTTGTTGCCATGAATTTGCCTCTTTTTTTGCAGACACTAGTGGTGTTTTGCTGCTTCAAGCGATGTGTGAATTGGCCTGAAAGGTTTGGGTGGGGCCAAGTGCAGTGATACTTTGAGGAACTGTTGAAAATTGCAAAAATGAGTGTTTTTTGCAAGTCTGACTGGCATTATCGTGCCTTTGGAAATCTATCTTTAGGGTATTTGAGGGGGGTTGCTAGTATCGGTGTTTGATGGTTGCTTTTTGGAAATATCGGAAAACCCCGGGTTTTTTGCACTTTTTGTGGCTAGCCGGCTGCATTCCCAGCATTCCCCACATCTCTGGTATTTTCTGTGTTTGGTCAATGTTGCGTGTATGAAAGTCTTAAAATCTTGAGCGCGGAGATTGGGTGGCCTTGCTTTTATACCCTTTCAAGGGTGGTTTAAAGAGTAGACTGTTCTTCTCCTGTCAGGTGTTCAGCCCTGCTGCCGAAGTCAGAGCGGCGTGGTTTGCATTTCCGTTAAGAGCCCCATGTCACCGAGGCAAAAAACATATTTTTCCTTACCCCAAATTCGAGGCACCCTCTCCTTCCACGTGTTAGGAGCCCTCATGTGACCTAGGCCAAAAAACCTCTTTTTCCTTACCCCAAATTTGAATCTTGTTCTCCTTCCAGGCTAACGCGTTGAGAGACCCATGTGACCTGGGCAAAAAGACGTCTTTTTCCTGACCCCAAACTAGGTACCCTGCAGCCAACCTGAGAGGGGCGTCGTTTGGCCTCTTTTCATTTGTTAAGAGCCCCATATGACCTAGGCAAAAAAAACGTCTTTTTCCTGACCCCAAACTTGAGAGCCAACCTGAGAGTGGCGTCGTTTGGTCTCTTTTCACTTGTTAAGAGGCCCTAGGCAAAAAACGTCTTTTTCCTTACCCCAAATTCGAGGCACCCTCTCCTTCCACGTGTTAAGAGCCCCATGTGACCTAGGCAAAAAACGTCTTTTTCCTTACCCCCAAATTCAAGGCACCTCAAAGGGGCGTTGTTTGTTCTCCTTCCGCAGGGGCGTTGCTTGTTCTCCTTCCAGGCGCTAAGGCGTTAAGAGACGTCAGAGCGGCGTTGTTTGTTCTTCTTCCACGCGTTAAGAGCCCTACGTGACATCAGCCCCAGTTTATGAATAGGGGACTGTCCACTGGTGTCGGCGGATCGCGTAGCGATTTCAATATCGCCTGAAGTGGACATGAAACCAGTATATACCAGCTACGCGCGATGTTCTCCTGAGTGCCCGGTAGCCATAGAACAATAGGGGAACCCTCCTTTCGGTGATTCTTGGACGGCCGGTTCTGAGCCTTGACAAATGAATATGCTTGGCAACGCTTGGCTTTGTCCACAACTGGACCCGCGGTGAACATGATTTCTGAGCGACCCCCCCCCTTGACAGTTTTTCAAACCAGGTTGAGTCAAGGACGTCTTGGCATAAGATCAGACACCCTAGCTCCCACTAACGCGGCACCTGTGGAGGGTATCTGGAAGATTGGCTTCCTCTTCAAAGGACAAACAAATATGGTGCTATGTTGGTGGAGGGAGGGTAAACTGTGGGTAAAACATGAACCATGCGTGTGATGCCGTTTTTTTGTGTGGCCGTGTACCTTGATCACGGTGAATCAGTTATGCTGTGACCCATGTTTCTCAAACTCAACCCAGTGCTCCTATCCAAAACAGATCCATTGAATCGCATCTCGTTGAACTTGAGAGGCAAAGGATACTCTTCTAAGATGCACTGCGTGGACCCTGTTTCCCATCGAAGACTATCCAAGATAGGTCCCGAGTCTTTTACATCCCGAGTGGCCAAAGGAAAACTAGGGTCTCTGGCGACTTGGCTGTTGGTCCCTTTGTCTAGGTGAAAGGGCGCCTAAAGTGCAACCAGTGTGCAGTGTCCCCACGTGAGGAACTTTTAAGATAGATGAGTATTCCACAAGGACCAAACAATCATTTGGAGGGATATGCAGGGTTCAGACGTTGAGTTCACAAATTTTTGGGGACCCAAAAGTAAATCCAAAGAAGCCATGTCGAGGGTTGACAAATGTGCGACACTGTTGGGGGATTCGTTCAAAAGGCGGCACCAAACACTTGACCGGACTTAGACCCAAAGCAGAAAGGAAAATGAAGGAACCCCAAAAATCAAAAAGTTGAAAAAG